TGAAAAAGGCAAAAAAAAAAAAAAAAAAAAAAATTAAATAAAGACAAACAATCATTTTGAATTGAGAGTGCTTGAGACAAGAAAAGTCATTTCTAAGCTCCTTTTCAAAATATGGAAATACAGCAAAATGGAAGAGAATTGACAATAAAGAAAAAACTCTTCTCAGCCCTTTCCCCAAACTCATGTCCTTTTCATTGCCACCGTAAGTTTCTAGCTGTGAAAAACGGGTGATTGTTTAGAATCTCACTTGACTGTTTCTTTCTAGCACCCACAGGCTTAGAGCACCTCCTTTGCTAAGAACTTTTTCTTAAACATCATGCAGTAGGAAAACTTCTATTGGTGGATAAATAAATGGATGCACAAAGAAGTTGTGTTTACAGAAAAGAAGATGACAGATGTTTCCTGGGAGTTTGTTGTATATTAACTTGATGTGAGCATGTGTTGGAGGAGAACAAATGTCAAGAAGTTGACACACGAAATAAGAGCATTCTTCCCACAAACACTGCCTGAGAAAGGCAGCTACTGACTTTGCTTAGAAATCACCTCCTTCATTACCCTTAATTACTTACCCCTGTACTTTTAAACTGGGTTTCACCACAGAACATGCATACTTTCTATTAAACTTAATTACCTTTCCTTTTATCGTCCCTGGGAGAAATGTCACCATCCAGAAATGCAGTTACCCAAGGAGGCAAACTTCTAAAACAGAACTCGTCACTCCAAATGCCATCCCTCCCTCCCCACACCTCTGCATCTCACCAAGTGATACCCAAACGCATTATTTACTGGTTTAAATGGGCCACATCAGTAAGAAAGGAAGCTCTTTCGGTGTTATTGCAAAATAAATCTCTAAATAGCATACGCATAATCTTGTGGGAGAAGGGAGAGGTTGCTTGGTTTGCAATTAGAAACTTCATCCTTAGAATAAGACTAAATGATGACATTACAGACATAAGAAAGTATGATATATATTCAGGCACAGACAAAAAGGGCCATTTACCAGATGGACAACTTTCAAGTATAAAGCTCACTTGAGAGATTCAAAACCATGAGTCAAGACACGTTAAGTTTAAATTTCAATTTATATCTTGTTTGTAAGGTGGAAAGATAAACACTAATAGAATTTCAAGTAAAATTAACAGATCTTAACAGCATAGATAGGAAATAAGATATTGGCTTTGAATACTGTGAAAGGCTTTGATTCAGCAGCCAACAGAGTAGAGAACACACATATCATATCTACAGCTAACACTCATAGAACTCCACTTGGCATTAGGCAGGTATCTGCAAAAAGAGAATACAAAAACTGAAGATAAATGGACTGGAAATATAAACAAAAACTGGGGAGGTTGGGAGAAAGAGAAGCAAGAAACTAATTAACTGCAATGTATGATTTGGAGAGAAAATCTGCCTGAAATACAATGGATTCAGATAACCATCAAAGCGTGTCACACTTTTATTGGTTTAAAAATGTATTTTACAGTGCAGGAGGAGAAATTCACTATGTAACAAAACACCTAGAAGTGATTATTTCTCTGGTCAGTTCAGTCTCACTCCCCCTTGCCAGAGAGAAGACAGCTACTTTGAAAGGATCTGCCACAGGAGGAGTGGGACGTTGATGGGAAGGAAGCCATTGGAGATACAAGGTGCTATGAGAGAGGAGAGGCCAGGGACAGCAGAGGGCTTCTGGGGAGGCGGTGGCAGACAGCTCTGCTGCACGGTCATTAAAGACCAGAATAGGCCATCAGGGAGGAAGTGATAAATGAGCTGCAAGCTGATGGCCACTATCCCAGGGCACCAAGTACTGCTGGGCAAGCCCTTATGCTGGCTCCAGAGCAAGGGCTTGCCAATCAACGGGATTTACTTCCCACTGCAAAGAAAGTGATAAGTAAGGAGCTTTTTAAAATCCTCTCCTTCTGTGTATCTACTCATTTTTCTCAAATGCATGAGCAAAGACATTTTGCAAAATGTTTCAGGAAAAAAGCTAAAATCAGAAAGAGGGTAGAAACACCTTCTGTCTTTGTCTAAGTCAATCAAAGACTTGTCTGGAACATTCAATTGTCAAATCCTTGCTTTGGTATTTCTAACTCAGAGTTTCCTAACTTTCTGCAGTAACAAGCCATCCTTGTGGTAACAAACTTTAACAAGGGTTGTGGTGGGGAGATGAGTGTAGGGGACAGACGAGAGTATTTCCAGCTAGACGGGGCTGCTGACAAGATCTCCTGTAAGAAGCTGAGTTCATGTGTGTGTGTGCATGTGTATGTGTATGCAAGTGCATGTGTGTCCATGTTTGGTGGAAGGCAGCTGCCCCTTTTCTTTAAGCTTCTAGAGCAAGAGGGCAAAGAGAAATTGTATAGGGCAGACAGACAGGGAAATCATTATGTGCAAATAAACTAGATTAAGCCATGAAGTTTATGAATGGAGGGCTTATGTCTGTATTTTTTACTGCTACGGCCCAGCATCTGGTGCAATGAGGCATGTGGTAGGTGTTCCATAACATATTTTTAATTGGTTATGTGAAGGTAATGAGAGATACTAAGAATGGGGCTTGAATTAAACAGATACTATCTGATGCCTCAAGTCAGCACCTCAAATACAGCGTCATTCAAATAACAGTCGTGCTCACACCATAATCTAAACCAGTAGGGAAGAAGCATGGCAGGTGAGACTCTACATATATACATATAGCCCACTTATTTAAACAGAGCAAACAGAACGTGGAGCTAGGGGTATAAAATGTTAAGTTAGATATGCTCTGAGCAAGCACATTTTACAAAATGTTCAGGATGATACGAGGAGAGGTAATAAATACATGAATCATCATGATAATCACAAAGCACATATTAAATGCTGAAGAGATATTTTGCATGTAGAATTCTGAAAGCTGCGAGATTAGTTACATAATACTTTCAATTTCTATTTGTGATGCTGATTCTCATTTTAACATTTTCTTATAATGACTTCTGCCTACTCCTTGCTCAACTTAGTGATTCCCTCAGAAGAATCTTACAACTTCTGCCTAAAATTGCCATTTTGACATATATGTTCTCCAAAATGTTTCCAATTACTAGGGAAGCCAGCAAGAAGACTTTATAACTGCTAAAGAAAATGATCATTAAAGTAATAGAAACAAATAAAATAGGAATCGATATGAATATGCGCTTAAAATTCCAATACCTGACCAAAGTAAGTCTACTCCCAGAGGGACTGGATTTAGCGATTTCCTCTACTTACGCATTCATTTCCTGCCCATTCTCAGCTGCAAAATAAAAAGTCTTGATCTGTGGATGGTTGATCTTAAAAGCACTTGAAGGGAGAAAAGCACAAACACATAAAAAATTAGTGTCCGTATTCATCAACGGGTCTAAAATTAGATCAGTCAAATATAATCATTATAAGTTCATCTGCTTTCTTTGTAAATTTTCCAAAAGAATTTAGTCATATTAAACATCTATTTCTAATCCCCATTTCATGTAGGAAGCTGACGGTCAATTTATCATGTTGAAACATTCAGAGCAGGACTGAGTCTTAGCTGGTCAATAGTTTTCATTTAAAACACATGGGCATATATATTTTTTTTTCAGTTGCTAACTTTTTGCTATAAAGATACAATAAATTCAAATTTAGACCGATAGAGATATCTCTTCAAAATATTCAGATCAACTTCTTCAAGCAAAGTTTTTATTTAAATTCAATCAAATATACAGAAAAATTTTGTTTATAGAAAAATAATCAGGTATGGAATGTCCACACTGACAACACATCAAAAATCTGATCCAAGGCATTCTTTATGTAACAGAAAATATAAGGTAGATTTTAGCTTTAAAAAAATTTGCAAAACACTGAAGATAAGAAACAATAAAGTGCTTCCACTTTACCATTTATCCCCGAAGTCCTGCAGTACAGGCCAGGGTTTTGGAAACAACAAATCAGAAACCACAAGAACCAATACAACCCATTCATCACTGGACATGAACAGCTACACCACAATGGCAAAGACTCAAAACTAACACCAGCTTATTAATTTTATTAGAAGAAAACAACTAATCAATTGCTGCAACTAGTATCATAGGTCAATAGGGAAGTGTCCCTTTCTGATAAGACTGGAAAAGATGTCAAAGGTAGAAGAAGAATAAGAAAAAGGTGTAAAAAGACACATGCAGAATACAGCAGGATGCTCTTATGGGAAGAGCTCTTGACTGGGTGTCTGGATACCGGGGCTTAGAGCCAGCTCTCCCGTGAGCTGCAGGCAGGTCATAGACTCTCTGGGCTGTTTCCTTCTCATAAAACAAGGACAATGAGTAACTTCTTTGGTCCTTGTTGGCTGTCAAATCTTTTTCACTTAAGTTATATAGGGGTACAATCCCCAGACTTAAAACAGCTCCGAGAATTCAATTTCAAGGATGATGCTAACAGTTCCATGAACTAAAAAAGAGAAACTGGTCTTGCCATTGTATCTGCAACTGAGGTGAGTCCTATTTAACTATTTGTAAAATAGTTAAAGGACAAAACCTTGACATCTGACCTCCCCACAAGTCCTGGATGGGAGATTATTTTTTATTCCATCACAGACACAGTCAACAACAATATTCCATGCCAAGGCTTCACATGGGTTTTTTAATCCATCTGCTCCACAAAATGAAATTCCAGAAAACAAAAGATTAAATGCTTCCATTACTATTTAGGGTGCCAATCCATAATGCACAAAAGTCTCAGGCTTTTTAGTGTTATCTTCCCTCACTTGCAAATCACTTCATCACTCAATGAACATTATGAAGGGCTATTACCCTGGCTCAGAGTTCTGTGGAGGATGAGAGACAACTTACTGCTTTTTCTTGCATTCAGATGCTCTTTCCACAGTGAAATCAGGCAGGTTGACAAATCCATCAGCTTTCTCTGCCTGAAAAAAATACATACCACAAATAGGAATAAATGCATCAACCCAGGGATTAGTTTATTGAGATCATATACATGGATAGAGATGGTCTAAATGAAATGAGGTAGAATCAAAAGAAACCTCCCTGCATCAGCAGTAATTAATATTGACTTATCCCATACACACTGTTTATAAGAGAAATTAATATTCTCCTGATAAATCAGTCAGAATCTCTCCGTGAGAAGTAACATGACACAGCTTAGAGATGGTAAATATATGGCAGGCATAGATCCTGCCCCCACCCCTTCCTGTCTTTGTGGAAAAGAGAGCTAACCCATCAGGGTCCTGCCTCCTGCTGAGCCCACAGGCATCCTCAGCATCCTTCTCATCCCACTGCTTTAGTAAGCTGCGAGCATGGGAGAGGAAACCTCATTAGCATTCTTGATAGGGTAGATGGAGCCCTGACTCTGGAGTCAGCAAATGCACATCCCTATCATGGATCACCCACTTATTGGCTGTTATGACTTAAATGACCTCAAATAAATATACACTTAACAGACACTCGACAAGCAATATATCCTCTCCCACATCTGTAGGCAGTGCCTTGGGGGTGAAATCACAGAGCCACATCTTGTAGAATCTCAGCTCCATAATCAATTTCTGGGAATTCTTTTTACAAAGGGAAGACTGGAGAAGAAAATGACAGTTTTGAAGATATAGCATGAATGTTGCATTAAATCACCCAAAATATTGTAGGAAACATAATCATTGTCCCACCTCTCTAAGAAATCATTAATCTGTATTTTATAAATGAAGTTTGACTAAGCCATGAGGAAGCTAGATTGTTCACCACAGATAGAACTCAAATCTCCTTTCATCTACGCTGGTGTCTCTGAGTAGAGAAATACAGTCCATGAGATTAAACATAAATGAGTCAGTGATTATTGGGAAATGAATAAAAATTGATTTTGAACATATAATCTTATTTTTATAAGTCACCTTTCTATTAAATTAGCGTCATGGTTGCTCTTAGTTGACTTTATTGTTCTGTGTCACTTTCCTTTATTGCCAACTAGAGTGTAACCTACACTCTTTTCTTCAGAAAAATTAAACTGTGACACATCCAACACCATGCCCATCTTCTCTCTCCTACATGGCTTGATTTATCCAAATTCTTCACCTGAAACACTGCCTTCTTATAACACTCAAAATTCAATTCTAATGAGTACTTCCTTCTTTTAAAATTATATATGCAGAACAGCGAAGTGGCAGCCAAGGTACTGATACTAAAATCTGTGTGTCATTAAGAGCCATGGGGCCCACAGGCCCTGAGCCAGCCACACCGGAACCAGCAGCCACCACCCATGGGAATCCCAGCCCAGGTGAGTCCCCGCCACCCAGAGAGACCTGAAAGCCTCCTGGCCCACAGGCCCCAAGGAAGCTGCACTGAAATGGCAATCTTGCCAAATTGGCAGTTCCGGCAAGATTCAGGTTAGATACCAGGGTGGAATGAGTGGACTGTGAAACCCTCTGCCACAATGACTAGACACCAAAGAAAGATAACAGAAATATGAAAAAACCAAGAAAGTACAACACCACCAAAGGAAATAATAACTCTTAAGTTCTAGATCCTATAGAACAGTAAGTCCTTGAAATGAATGACAAAGAATTTCGAGCAATAATTCTAAGGAAACTAAATGAGATACAAGAAAACTCAATTAGACAACACAATGAAATGAGGAAAAGTATACAGGACCTGAAAGAAGAAATGTACAAAGAAATCAATGCCCTGAAAAAGAATGTTTAACAGAGCTTGTGGAGCTGAAGAATTCATTCAATGAAATAAAAAACACAACAGAAAGTATAATTAGCAGGCTAGAACTAGCAGAAGAGAGAATTTCTGACCCTGAAGACAGTCTGTTCAGAATAACACAGGTGTCAAAAAAAAAAAGAAAAAATTTTGAGAAAAATCTAAGAGAGATAACAGACAACCTTAAGCACTCAAATATCCAAATCACGGGTATGCCAAAACGGGAGGAAAAAGGAAATGGCATTGAAAATATATTCAATGAAATAATAGCAGAAAACTTCCCAGGTATAGGGAAAGACACAGATCTTCAAATTCAGGAGGCTCAAAGATCCCCAAACATATTCACCAAAAAAGGTCCTCTTCAAGACATGTTATAGTCAAATTGGCAAAATTCAGAGACAGAGAGAATCTTAAAAGCTGCAAGAGAGAAGCAGCAAGCCACTTATAAGGGAGCTGAAATCAGACTAACATCAGACTTTTCATCAGAAACCCTAAAAGCCAAAAAAGGATGGGATTATATATTCAAAATACTAAAAAACAAAAATTGCCAGACAAGAATACTTTACCCAGCAAGACTATCCTGAAATGAAGGAGAAATAGTTTATTTCTCAGACAAACAAGAAGTGCAGAAGTTCACTACCACCCGACCAGCCTTACAAGAAATTCTCAAGGGAGTACTATATTTGGTACATGAAAAACAACCATCACTGCCATGAATACTCAAGAAAGAATAAATCCCATCAGTAAAACAAAAATGCTAACAATAAAGAGAAAAAAAGTTTATTTACCATCCCAAGAAACCAACAAACACAAAAGGCAAAAAGTAAATCGGAAAGAAAGAAACAAAAGATAGTTAAGACATTCAAACAAAAATCAATAAAATGACAGCAGTAAATCAATACCTTTCAATAATAACTCTTAATGTAAAAAGATTAAATTCCCCACTCAAAACACGAAGACTGACTGACTATATTAAAAAGATGGACCCAACAATAGGCTGCCTTCGAGACACTCACCTCAACTGTAAAACCACACATAGACTAAGAGTGAAAGGACAGAAAAAGATATACAATGCAAATAGAAATTAAAAATGAGCTGGAGTAGCTATTCTTATATCAGATAAAATAGACTTTATACCAAAAACCACAAAAAGAGATAAAGAAGGCCACTATATAATGATAAAAAGGATCTATTCATCAAGAAGACATAACAATCATAAATATATATGCACCCAACATTGAAGCAGCCATATTTATAAAGCAAACACTATTAGACCTAAAGAAGGAAATAGACACTAATACCATAATAGCAGGGGACCTGAACACCCCACTCTCAACATTGGACAGATCATCCAGGCAAAGATCAACAGAAAAACACAAGATCTAAACAACTCTTTAGAACAATTGGACTTGACAGATAAATACAGAATATTGCATCCTCTCAACATTGGACAGATCATCCAGGCAAAGATCAACAGAAAAACACAAGATCTAAACAACTTTTTAGAACAATTGGACTTGACAGATAAATACAGAATATTGCATCCAATAACCTCAGAATATTCATTATTCTCATCAGCACATGGAACATTCTCCAGGATAGACCACATGTTAAGTCACAAAGCAAGTCTCAACAAATTCAAAACACTCAGAATATTCATTATTCTCATCAGCACATGGAACATTCTCCAGGATAGACCACATGTTAAGTCACAAAGCAAGTCTCAACAAATTCAAAAAAATTAGGATTATTCCATGTATTTTTTCAGATAACAATGGATGAAAATTAGAAATCAATAACAAATGAAACTCTGGAAACTATACAAACACATGGAAATTAAACAACATTCTACTTAATGACAAATGGGTCTAAGAAGAAATTAAACAGGAAATCAAAAAATTCATTGAAATTCATGAAAATAATGATGTATCATACCAAAACCTGTGAGATACTGTAAAAGCAGTACTAAGGGGGAAATTTATCACATTAAGTGCTTGCTTCAGAAGAATGGAAAGATGGCAAGTAAACAACCTAACACTTCCACCTTAAAGAACTAGAAAAATAAGAACAATCGAAACCAAAACTAGGCAGATGGAAAGAAAAAATTAAGATCAGAGCAGAACTAGTAGATGGAAAGAAATAATTAAGATCAGAGCAGAACTAAATGAAATAGAAACCCAAAAAAGTGATACAAAAGATCAATGAAACAAAAAGTTAGTTTTTTGAAAAGATAGATAAAATTGACAAACCATTAGCAAGGCTAACTAAAAAAAGAAGAGAGAAGAACGAAATAACAAAAAATTAGAAATGAAAAAGGTGATATTACAACTGATACCTCAGAAATACAAGGAATCATTAGAGACTACTATAAACACTATATTCCAACAAACTTGAAAATCTGGAGGAAATGGATAAATTTCTGGACACACACAAACTATCAAAACTGAGCCAAGAAGATATAGAAAATCTGAAGAGACCAATAACAATAAAAGAGATTGAAGCTGTTATCAGAAGGCTCCCAAAAAAGAAAAGCCCAAGACTGGATGGAATCACTGCAGAATTCTACCAAACCTTCAAAGAGAAATTGATACCAATTCTCTACAAACTATTCCAAAAGACTGAAAAAGAGGCAATTCTCCCAAACTCATTCTATGAGACAAACATCACCCAATACCAAAACCAGACAAGGATACAACAAAAAAAGAAAACTACAAGCCAATATCCTTGATGAACATAGATACAAAAAATCCTCAGTAAAATACTAGCTAACAGAATACAGCAACATATACACAAAATTATACATCATGATCAAGTGGGATTCATCCCAGAGATGCAAGGTTGGTTAAACATATGCAAATCAATAAATGTGATACACCACATCAATAAAATCAATGACAAAAAACATATGATCATCTCCATAGATGCTGAAAAGCATTTGACAAAATTCAACATTCATTCATGATGAAGACTTTCTATAAGTTGGTATAGATGGAAAGTATCTCAACACAAATAAAGCTATATGTGATAAGCCCACTGCCAATATCACCCTGAACAGGGAAAAGCAGAAAGCTTTTCCTTTAAGAACAGGAAATAGACAAGGATGCCCACTCTCACCACTCCTATTCAACATAGTGCTGAAAGTACTAGCCAGAGCAATCAGAAAAGAGAAGGAAATAAAGAGCATCCAGACTGGAAAACATAAAGTCAAACTATC